TTATCATAAACTGGCTTTGACTGACCTCTACTTTATCATAAACTGGCTTTGACTGACCTCTACTTTATCATAAACAGGCTTTGACTGACCTTCACCAATGATATGGCTTAAATATTCTACCATAAATTGGCCAGTGTCACCTTTAGTCGGACGAGCACCTGGACAATATATCTAAAACTTCCCATAACACAGTACATGATGTTCCCAGATTGGCTTCATATGCTGATATTTCTTTACTACCGTCATGTAAAGGTGTCTGCCAACATCTGCTGAATCTTTCTATCTATATCTCCCTGTACCGAGAATGGTAATAGATATGAGATATTCTTTATAGGTTTATCATCAATTAACTTGTTTTAACACGTTCATGCGTCCTGGAACATCGCTGAACACCTGATCAAACATATCGAGCACTTAACTGACATCGCTCTTCTGCTCTGCACTTAACTGACATCGCTCTTCTGCTCTGCACTTAACCGGCTGTTTACTTTCACATCTACCTTTGTTTACTTCCTTTAAAACTAGTAATTGCTTCTATACTGGTATCCTCACTTTCGTCTTCCTCACAAACAACTGCTACACTAACCGCTTCTACCACAAGAGATGAATTCCCTTTAGTCGCTTCCACTCAGGAAAAATACTGCTTCAACATGTTATTGTGATATTTCCGCTCTGTGCCACTCATGTCTACCAAATAACTCCAATTGTTAACTTTCCTAACTGCATCAAAAGGCCCTATACTCTCATTAATGATCTTGATTTAGGTCATTAATGATCTTGATTTAGGTCATTAATGATCTTGATTTAATCATTAATGATCTTGATTTAGGTATAACTAGTAGGATTAGTAAATTTGCAGATGATACCAAAATGGGGAGAGTGATAAATTCAGACAGTGACTTTGAACACCTTCAAAGAGATCTAGATACCTTACATGAGTGGTCAGTAGACTGGCAAATGAATTTTAATACCGATAAATGCAAGGTACTACAGATAGGGAAGACGAATACAAACGTTAAGTATAAACTAGGTAACACGGAAATAGAAAACTCAGTTTGTGAAAAAGATCTAGGTGTATTTGTTAGCAACGACTTGAAACCTAGAAAACAATGTATTAGCGTTCGCAACAAGGCAAACAGGATTCTTGGGTTCATATCTAGGTCTGTGAGTAACAGAACTGCTGACGTTATCTTGAAACTTTACCTAGCATTAGTAAGAGGCCACACATGGTTCAGTTCTGGTGTCCTTATTACAGAATGGACATAGATTCTTTGGAGAGTACAAAAAGAATGACAAAATGATCCATAATATTAGAAACCTTCCATGAAGAAAGACTGAAAAGCTTAGGCTTACATTCATTAGAGAGGCGTAGAGTTAGGGAGATATGATAGGGTGTACAAGTGGTAAGTGGGATTAACAAGGGTAAAATGGAAGATGTTCTGAAGCTCAGTAATAACGAAATAACTAGAACAAATGGCTTTAAATTAGATAAATTCCGATTCAGAAAGGATATAGGCAAACACTGGTTTGGTAATAGAGTTGTGGATATGTGGAATAGGCTACCGAGTGCTATAGTAGGATCGGGGACGCTAGGGAGCTTCAAGACGAAGTTGGATAGGCACATGGAAGTGCTGGGATGGGTGTGAAAGGGATCTGCCCTGTATGGGCCAGTCGGCCTCCTGCAGTATCCCACTTTCTTATGTTCTTATGTTCTTATTAGGAGCTTATTGTTACTGGTTGGCAGTATGATCACAGCTTTCTGGCCGACTGTTAGCTGTCAATCCTTGGCTTTGTGATCATAATACATTTGATAACTGTCACACCTGCTCCTGTTAACTCTTCATGGGCTACTGTAAAAGTGTCTTGTAATTTCTCTCTCTCAGATTAATCAGGTAGTCATACACCGTCCTAGAATTTTCTTCATCTTGTTCATATCCTTCCCCATTCTCTCAGCTTCGGGATATCTCGTGGCGTAGTCTACAGTAGTGAGAATATACCGTGATCCGTGACTAGCGTTCGGCCCTAATGGTCCCACATCTTCACTACTACCGTGAGACTACTACTACCACACATATCTTCACTACTACCACGAGACTACTACTAATACTACTACTACTACCACACACATCTTCACAATTACCACGAGACTACTACTACTAAACACGTCTTCACTACTACTACTACTACACATCTTCACTACTACCACGAGACTACTACTACCACACACATCTTCACTACTACCACGAGACTACTACTACTACTACTACCACACACATCTTCACTATTACCACGAGACTACTACTACTAAACACGTCTTCATTACTACTACTACTACTGCTACTACTACACATCTTCACTACTACCACGAGACTACTACTACTACTATCACACACATCTTCACTATTACCACGAGACTACTACCACTAAACACGTCTTCACAACTACTACTACTACTACTAAACATCTTCACTATTACCACGAGACTACTACTACTACTACTACTACAAATCTTCACTACAACTACTGCTACTAAACATCTTCACTACTACCACGAGAGTACTACCACTAAACACGTCTTCACTTCTACTACGACTACTACTACTACTGCACACATCTTCACTACTACCACGAGACTACTACTACTACTGCACACATCTTCACTACTACCATGAGACTACTACTACTACTGCACACATCTTCACTACTACCACGAGACTACTACTACTAAACACGTCTTCACTACTACTGCACACATCTTCACTACTACCTCGAGACTACTACTACTAAACACGTCTTCACTACTACTACTACTGCACACATCTTCACTACTACCTCGAGACTACTACTACTAAACACGTCTTCACTACTACTACTACTGCACACATCCATATGTTCACTACCATTATATTACTATACTATTACTAATATTTTTATTTCATACACTCACACACACACACACACACACAGACCTCTTACTATAATTATTCAGAGTTAATCTTGATAAATTAAGACGAACTGTATATGTTACTAGAGAAGTATTAAAATAATTATGAAGTTCACTCGTATGACCCGACGAAGATCACTTCACCTTCGCTCCCGTGTGGTGCCTCCAGTAGGTGTCCGCCGTAGTTCCAGGTTGGCTAAAAAGGCTGCCAATCGTTTCACCTGTTGTCCTTGTTATCCGTGTCGTGGTAAATTGAATTTGGATTTGAGTGACGGACCCCAAGACACCATCCGTCTGTACTTGGATCCTCAGCCTGTTAAGGCTATCCAACCTGATCTTAGCGAGTATGTTGCCATCAGGCTGGACACTCTGTAGTGCCTTAATGCATCCATCAACTGTGAACCGTGTCATCTCCATGTGGACTCAGGGATTAGTCGAGTGTTCCTTTCCCACGAGACTGCCTTGACTGCAGGTATTTTAGGTCATAATGTTAGGTGGGCCAATGGAAAATTTTATGAGTCGTATTATTCCCGGAAGACGGTGCGGATGGGAACAGTTCGGAACGTGCAAATAACCTTGAAACCTGGCGTTACAGTGACCACTCAGGTTCACGTGTTCCCTCCTGCATTTACTGACATGGGTGATACACTCGGCAACTCCGTCTTACAACAGTGTAAAGTAACTCAGAGATGGTATAAAGAGAAGTCTTACCTTTTTATCAATGTAAATAACATTGATGATGTTTGGTATCGTATGGAGAAGGTGGGCACAAGAAGTCAATATTATTACCTGAACGCATTCTTGACCCCGTCATTCGAGGGACCAGGACTAAAGATTAAAATACAATCAGGAGACCATAAATTCGTAATGTCCACCAAGATCCGGGATATGGTAGCCCGTGCTCGTAATCTGAAGGATCCTGATAAGGTCCAAATCCATTTACATAGAAAGGTTTTCATGGAGGCGACGGATGTGGTGGCCAAGGATATGACCACCTTCGACTTCTGCATGGGTCAGGACATGCTTGGTCAGTATGTCGGCATCCTTGACTATAATGATTGCTCGCTCTACTTTAAAAACAAGGGATCTGCTTTTATGACCAAATTAAATATAATGCGCATTTGAGGTGTTAGGATTGTTAGTAATACACTAATACAACAACGTGTTTGTATGTTTTTCTCAATAAAAATATAACATTATCTTCAAATATAATTTATTGTTAAAACCTTTTTATATTCTGTAAAAGCAAATGATTTTCTAGGCAGAAATTTTCACTAGATAGTGTTCTGTATGTGTGCTTCAGTTATTAATAATTATGTCTATGTATAATTAATTCGAGTATTTATTGAACCCCATTTTGGCACGGAAGGAATTTCTTAATTTCACAACTTTGTTTTCTTTATTCAGATACTGTGAGGTGAATTATAGATTTGGCCCTTTGTAAGCTGGTGCTATCACAATGAACTAATTGCCTACCGCTCAAAATTATGATTTGCCTTAACTTGTCTGAATAATGACAAAAATAAAGATGTAACAGTAAAAGTATTCAATATTGTTTTACAAGTCACTGTAATGATAATTGTTCGTATGATCTGGTCACACTAGTAACTGGTGGTGTTACCTGTTGGTAACAGTAATATTCTGCTGTCTGGTGTGGATAATAATCACACCCAGTACACGTGGTGTCAATGGTGTGGCATATTAATAGCATCCGTCATTACAGGTTATGACACTTGGTGTGGTAGTGAGGTAACACAGTTTACCGGTGACAGCAATATATATACTAACACTTGTTGGCTATATAATTACATACCGTTAATATATTAAGCTGTGTTGTATGTCCTTTGAAATTAGTTTGTTTTTTTACTTCATGTGAATTATATTGAACCAATATAATATTATGTATTTATACCAAGAAGTTTTGAGTTATATTCTAATTGTAAAAGATGTATTGTTTGTTTACATTTAAAAGGTTTCTTCCTCCAGGGGTCAATACAAGGTGTGGATGTGAGATCAGGAAAGTGACTAATCTTGATTCATCCATTGTATATCGTGCATGTCGGTATTAATTTACTCACCAGCATTTGGGTGAATCCTAAGTGAAGGAGGAAGAGCTATATCGTGGGATTAAGATAGATACATTACTAATCAGTTGGGCCACAAGGCCATGCAGTGTTAATGTTTGTACTTGTTTTACTGTAAATATATTCGTTGTTAACTGTTATACTATAAATTAGTATTTCTCAGTCCTGACTCAATTTGCACAGTATAATGAACAGTTTTCCTTGGATGTTTTCTCACAGAGTATTTATATTTAATGTCACCTTCAACAGTCAGCCAGAGGCAGCAAGGAGTGTCGCCATGACCCTGGTCTGTTAACCAAAGCCGTTATTTCAGAAGGTGAGTCTGAGTAATGGGCCTAGGAGTTGGGGCACTGCTGAAAGAGGAAGGTTATTCAGTAGTGGCCGTGACACATTAGTATGAGATTGAGGTTACAGATATAGAGAACCGTGTTTTATCATGACGGATGGAGGATAGCTGAGGTGGGGGCTGAGTGACCTGCTGGGTAGTCCAGACATAGACATCTGTGTTTCCGTTGAGCAGGGAATGGCAGTGTTGTTTCCAGTGCTGACTGATGCCTTCTTCGTCTTTGGGAGAACTCAATCTTTTCATAAAGATGAATGAAAGTGTAGTTTGAATTGTTGGCCCCAATGGTCGACCCCAACTCCTAAAAGTGGAACTATCTCATTTAAAACAACTCATTTTCTGTTTCTCTCTTAACCTAACCTAACTTAACCTCACGATAATGAGAATGTTTATAAATGTCTAAATTATAGTTGGGGATGGTCTATTATACATGGCAAAAGTTCTTAACAGGGGGTTGAATTATTGTTTTTTTTTTGCCTGTATACTTTAGTTTGGTGAAGGGCGGATATAAGGCTATAAGCTGCCCCATCTAATGTATTAATCGGTTTGTGTTTATCTGTTTTACGTGATGTATTTAATGTTTGGTTTAAATATGTTAACGTTCCCATACAATAAACCCAATGCCAGGTACTTCAGTTAATGTATATACGTGTATATTGTACTGTACCCCCATGACAGTGAACCCAGGACATGTGAACCCATGACACGTGTGAACCCAGGACACATGTGAACCCAGGACACATGTGAACCCTTATCATGAGTTCATCAGGTCAATATATGTGTGAATGACTTGACTTGAGAGTGAGGTCAGCGTGTCACTGGGTGAATGAGAGCACTACATAAATAGAGCTGGCCAATGTTTCAACACACACTGGCTCGACTGAAACAAATGGAATCTATTTTTGTAAAGGACCTAAAGTTGAATTTTGGGCTGACGAGTCCAATGGGACGGCCCCAAACTATCTTAACCTAACCTAACCTAACTTAACCTAACCTAACCTAACCTAACCTAACCTAACCTAACCTAAAATAGCTTATCCTAACTAAACTAGATTACCCTTCCCTAACTTTGTCTAATGTATCCTAACCTAACCTATCCTAACCTAGCCTATCCTAGCCTAACCTAGCCTATCCTATAGTAGCCTACATAGCTCATTAACCTCACCTAATCTTACCCTTGAGTTAACCTAACCTAACCTAACCTAACCTAACCTTGCCTAACCTAACCTCACCTAATCCTACCCTAGAGTTAACATAACCTAACCTTGCTTAACCCTTTCGACAGCAGGGATTAGGTTAAGTTAGGTAAGGTTAAGTTGGGTTAAAGAGAGGTTAGGTTAGGTTAGATAAGCTTAGGTTAAGGAGAGGCGCACGTGTGTGTGTGTGTGTGTGTGTGTGTGTGTGTGTGTGTGTGTAAATTTTGGCTTTCCTGTAGCGCCACGGGGCTCCTAGCGGCTGGGATGAGAGTTACTGTATCATCATCACCATCATCATCACCACCATCATCATCATCACCATCACCATCACCATCATCATCATCATCATCATCACCATCATCACCATCTGTCTCTTGTCTCTCTCCTCCTTAAAGCAGCCTTCCTCCTTTCCTCTTTTTCCTCTCCTATTTCTTCACCTTCCTCTCTTACTCCATCTCTTCTCTTCTCTCTCCTCCTCCTCATCGGTTTGGAAACAGAGTAGTGGATGAGTGGAACAAGTTACCAAACATCATCATTAACTCTAATACGCTGGATAGCTTCAAACAGAGGCTGGATGGATATATGAGCGATAGGGGTTGGGTGTAAACGGGACTGACCAGTATAGACCCGCTGCTGTTTCCTCCATTCATATGTTATTAATCACTTGATCCCACACAGCCATTTTCAGTTGAACAAATTTTCCAGTAAACTGTGACTTTGGTACAAGATTTTCCTTAACCAAAACAGTGGTACAACCTTGGTCCACACGTCCCACTCAAACAGTCAATTTACTTTCAGTTGCCAGTGCAGCCTTTTCTATATCACTCCTTTTATTTTAATCATCTTTTTTTCTTAGCACCAAACTTGTAATAGCAGTCTTTGAAGGTGTGTTTTATCCTGCCACACACAAGACACTCACGACCAAAGACTTTCTTAGGAGTTCCTGTATATTCTGTTACATCACTCTCTTGTTTACTTCCCACAGTAGATATTTCATTACCTCAGCCTCCGTGTGCTTCTATGTACAAGTTTTCCCATCATGTTCTCTTAAGAAAAGTACAAGTCCCTTATCAACAATGTCCTCAAAAGTTTCTTCACACTCAGCAAGTTCAATCCACCTTTTGAGAAAGTTCTTTAAGCGGTTGCCAAACTGTGGACCTGTTTCATTCTTAAGGAACTTACAACTTCAAAACTTAATCCTATAACCTTCTGTTGCACAACGAGAGTCTCTGAGTAATGTATCTTTAACCTTAGCTTCTGCTGGTGACTGATAAGTTTCCAGTGCTGTATCTTGCAAGAGAGAAGCTAAACTAACTGGCCATACATTCTTATTCCAGTTTGCACTCGTGGCTAACCTCTCAAACCTAAGTAAATGTGTTTGTTCATTAAATACTGACACACTCATAAAATACAACTTATCTGCAGACGATAATAATCTCTATGGCAGTAAATCAGACCTCTAGTCCTTGATGAGAACTATGAACAATGAACTCACTAAAGTCAGAACCTGGGTAACATGTAATCAATTTACCTTAAACCTCGAAAAAACCCACCACACAATCTTTCACAGCAGGAAACACCTACCCCAAGGCATGGACCCCCTGTACCTTGGCAATACAGTCCTCAAACGCGAATAGTATACTAAATTCCTTGGGGCTATTGTTGATGAGAAACTTAGCTGGAAAGGCTACATACAAGCCATTCACAGTAAAGTCAATAAACAGTGCGGTATCACACTCGACAGTCGCTCACTCTTACAGTAATGAAAGAAATCTATCATGATCTTGTTTACCAACACTTGATACACTGTCACACACTATGGGGGGGCCTCTGGTTCTTGGAAAACACAACCCCTGTTTACTGCACAGAAGAGTTGTACAGACAATGACCTACTTGAAAAAAAATATCACACTAACGAACAGTTTGTAAAATTGAAAATGTTAAAATTCGAGTATATTAACACCTACTGCTCTGCCCTATTGGTTCACAAATCTATCAATCACTTGCTTGACAATAATTATTTCCAGTTCCAGAATAATCAGAGATACAACTTAAGGCACCCAGAGCTACTAAGACCACCCCCATGCACTCCTCTCAGTCCCAGACCTCCATAAAATATCACAACTTACCCCCACCCATCCCAGCAAAGACTACGCTCCCTTCCTTTAAATCATCTCTTAAAAAATATCTATTGTCTAAGTATTAATATTTCTTGTAACACTTACTATATTTACAGTACCTGCTTTTATTGTACCACAAAACCGTTTTACCAGAAGTTATGTAGATAGATAGAAATTACCATTGCAATAAATATATTTGCCAACTTGCCATAATGCTCTTGTTCCACCCTAATACAACCCGTGTTCTACTCCCTTATCATATTTTGGTTTTTCAATTCCACTGTAAATTGTGTATACAATTATAATATAAATGTAAAAATTAGAAAAAATAACGAAGTGATAACCGTAGTAACATGTTCATATTACCACTATAATATGTGTACCATTCCAGATGACACTAAATGTTACATAATACTTCCTTGAGATAAATGAATACCTAGTATATATCAGGTCCTCAGCCATGTTAATATTGTTATATTGTCCCTCTGTATCTGTGTTTATAACGCTAAATAAACTGTTTCTATGTTTCAACACACACACTACACCTGCCACACACACACACACACACACACACACACACACACTCACACACAACACACACACACACACACACACACACACACACACACACACACACACACACACACACACACACACACTTGTACACACACACACCACACCACACACACACACACACACACACACACACACACTACACACCACCACACACACACCACACACACACACACACACACTACACCTGCCACTCCACACACACACACACACACACACACACACACACACACACACACACACACACACACACACACACACACACACACACACACACACACACCACACCACCACACACACACACACACACACACACACACACACACACACACACACACACACAGTTATCCTTAAGGCGCGTGTCCTTATTTCCTGAGAGTGTCCCCATAAAAGCAAGTGAGTGTGTGTGTGTGTGATAATGTGTGTGTGTGTGTTTTTGTATGTGTGTGTGTGTGTGTGTGTGTGGGTTTAGTGTGTTGTGTGTTGTGTTGTGTGTGTGTGTGTGTGTTTGTGTGTGTGTGGGTGTGGTGGCTGTGTGTGTGTGTGTGTGTGTGTGTGTGTGTGTGTGTGTGTGTGCAGTGTGTGTGTGTGTGTGTGTGTGTGTGTGTGTGTGTGTGTGTGTGTGTGTGTGTGAGTGTGTGTGTGTGTGTGGCAGGTTGTGGTGTGTGTGTGTGTGTGTGTGTGTGTGTGTGTGTGTGTGTGTGTGTGTGAGTGTGTAGTGTGTGTGTGTGTGTGTGTGTGTGTGTGTGTGTGTGTGGCAGGTGTAGTGTGTGTGTGTGTGTGTGTGTGTGTGTGTGTGTGTGTGTGTGTGTGTGTGTGTGTGTGAGTGGCAGGTGTAGTGTGTGTGTGTGTGTGTGTGTGTGTGTGTGTGTGTGTGTGTGTGAGTGGCAGGTGTAGTGTGTGTGTGTGTGTGTGTGTGTGTGTGTGTGTGTGTGTGTGTGGTGTGGTGTGTGTGTGTGTGTGGCAGGTGTAGTGTGTGTGGGAGTGTGACAGGTGTAGTGTGTGTGTGTGGGAGTGTGACAGGTGTAGTGTGTGGGAGTGTGACAGGTGTAGTGTGTGTGTGTGGGAGTGTGTCTGTGTGTTG